AAATAGGTGCGGTCGATCACGATGCCGCCGCCGAGCAGCACGCTGATGAGAACGTAGACGAAGCTCGGCGCTTCAAGCCCGTGACCGAACTGCGCTTCGCCGATCGCCGCCGCTACCGCGTCATTTTCAACAAAGGTCGGACCGGCGAAGGTGTCGCGGAACAGGTCGGCGGCATCGGTGCGCGCCCAGGCGTCATAGGTGAGCGGCTTGCCGGGAAAAGCCAGCGTACCGAGCTCGTCGGGCAACGCGATCCCAAGACCCACCACGCGATCGGGCGAAATGTGTGCCTTGGTCACCAGTTCGCGCCAGCTCCGTGCGAAGAATCGCCGCGCGTCGTCGGGCGAAGCGAAGCCGATCTCGGCCGAGACACGGCCCCGGATCTGGCCGCTCAGATCGAGCACGACCAGCGTGAGGTGGTCACGGTCGATGTTCAGGCCCGCCGAAAAGGCACCGTCCGGGTTGAGTTCCAGTTCCCACGCGGGTTGGCCGCGACCGCGTGCCGGTCGCTTGGCCTCGACGATCAGTCCGGCCTGGAGGAGATGGCGCGATACGTTGACGATCGTGGGGATAGTCAGGCCGGTGATGTTCGCCAGTTCGCTTCGGGTGACGCGTTTGTGCGTTCGAATTTCCTGGAAGACGACGCGCTGGTTGTGATTGGCGTCGATATCCAGCGTCAGATAGGGCGCGGGCGAGGCGGCAGCCGCGTCGATGCCGGTCGACGCCGGTGCGCGGTCCGACCGGAAGGGAAACAGGTGCCGCGACGTCCGCGCACTTGCACCGCCGTTGCTGCTTGAGCGCCGCTCACCCGACATGATCGTGCGCCTTCAGCAATGCCTCGCCGATCGGAAACAGTCTTGCCCGCATCGGCAGGCTTGCCGCCCCGATCAGCGTCGCGTCCCTGGCCAGGCGGGCCGGCTGGATGCCGGCGTGGCTTGGTATCTCGGGGGCGCTGGCGAGCAACAGCGTATTGCATCGTTCGGCCAACCGCGTCAGCCATCCCTCCGGGAACCGGCCACCGAGCAGCACGCCGCCCGGGTTGAGCATGCAATTGATCGACGTGAGGAGCGGGATGAGGTCCGCAGCGGCGGCCGCCAGCCACGCTTCCTCGCACGCGGGGAGCGCGGCCATGCGGTCGGCGGCGACCGCCTGACGGCACCAGGCAGGTTCGGCGCCCGGGAAGAGGTAACGCTTGGTTTCCGGGTGCGCGCCTTTGAAGAGCCCCTCATGCGCGACCAGGCCGCCCACCGGTCTCGGCCCCATCAGAATATAATAATAGCTCTGGAGGGAAGCGCCCACGCCGAACAGCGATTCGCCAGCCGTCGCCGCGGCAAGCGCGGAATCGATATAGATCGGCACGCCCGGCGAGACATCGGACAGAGCCAGCAGTCGATCCCGATGTCGCCATCGCCCGGGTCGGCGTGCCGACTGTCCCTCGACAGGCTGCCCACCATTGCAACGCCCAGGCCGATGATCCGGTCGCGGCGAATGTCTTCGGTGAGCTTCAGATACTGTGTCGGGAAGTGCGTCTTCGCACGTTCGCCGGACGATGCCGGCCGGGTGATGACGCCCCGGCTGACCGGGTTTCCCAACGCATCGATGGATACCAGGTCCAAGCGGTCGTCATCCACTTGCAAACCAACGGAATAGCACCCTTCCGGATTGACCTCGAGGTGGACAGCGGGTTGGCCGCGCGCGCCAAAGATCCGACTGGTCTCGATCACCAGCTCACTGCCGAGCAGGCGCCGGACGATGCCAGCGATCGTCGGTTTGGCGAGCCCGGTCAGTTCGATCAGTGCATTGCGGGTGATCGGCCCCCTGACGCGGACGGCCTGGTAGACCAGTCGCTGATTATAGTCGCCGGTCAGTTCGAGATTGGTGCCGGAAAGGCTGGCTTTGCGGCGACGCACCGTTTGTGGCTGACTGTCCATTGTTCCGACCGATACCACCGATCCGTCCGAGGCAAACGGATTAGATCTTCAAGAGCAGGGCAAGCCATCGATTAGCCGATTTTCCGCTTGGGGGAAGCCAAAAGGAGGATTGACAAGGCCCCTCCCAGCGCGGCATCGTTTAAAAAAACAAATCAACATACCAATGTTAGGAGGGGTACGGCGATGAAACGCCTTAACATTTTCACCGCCGTAGTGGCATCGCTGGCGGGCCTCCTTTTCGGTTTTGACACAGCCGTGATCTCGGGCGTCACCACCGCGCTCCGCAAGGTGTTCGAACTGAGCGACGCCGGGTTGGGGCTTACCGTCGCGGTCGCGCTTCTCGGTACTTGCGTCGGCGCGCTAGGTGCCGGGCTCGTCGGCAACCGGCTCGGCGGGCGCGATACGCTCAAGATGGTCGGTTTCCTCTTCGCGCTGGC